AACTACACAGCACTGAAGTGAAAGTAGAACCCTCACATTATAGTGACTGACCTGTAAATGACCCAAAACAACTTGGTGCGTCAGCTAGTTCAAAACTAAAAACCTGTTTCTGACTTTAGCAGTTAGCTTCTCATGTCGGACACGTTTCCTCACGAGAACCAAACACGTTTAAAGAAGTGTCCTTAAATAGGGATTCCCTCCCAGTGGAGCACTTCCTGTTTACTTCCTGTAAACAAAGTTTGGAGCATGACTCAGCAAAAGACATTTAAAATAATAATGTTTCAGTACAATGTGTTAAAACCATAGACTGTATATAAAGAGTTAAAACAAATCTGTTTTCTGAAATTAGTTGTCAAACTGCTTAAATTCATTGTTTTAATACTTGTCAGGTGGCGCAATCAAATCAAATATTTACATTTCCCTACAATTTATTCTAAATTAAATCTTCGCCTCTTCTCTAACCCATTGTTATTTAGTGGTTGTATTTTCAGTAGTTACAGTAATTTAATTGCCCCTGTGTTCAGTATCTTAAGCTTCCAAATGTACATTTAAAGATGGAAAAATACAAAAACTAAGCACAATTACTATTTGAATTACATTTACCAACCATTTGTTTGTTTTAACCTATTTTATTTGTGGGTTAAATGAACATTTTAACTGTTACTGACAGGAAGTATGCTGAACAATTGCATTTTTAAAAATACAGATGTGTTTGAGTGCAACAGTCTCTATAAAAAGTTACACACATCTGTACCATTGTCAGACATTTGTGTTCGTCGTAAACGTTTCTCTCTAATTTAAAATTTGTGCAAACATGCCGTTAATAACTTCTCCCATAATCCTCCCTGTGTGCGGCTTTAAGCTAATTAACTGCATTTAGATGACATGATGCTGTGTTTACAGATGAAGGGTCCTGCAGGCTGATTTCACAATTATGTCTTTTACACTAAATTGGGCACAATGGGAACAGGTCTAATGATGATTTTTCCCAGTGGTGGCTGTCAGTGCCCTAAACCGCCACCAGGGGTCGCCTGTCTCCTGCAGATCTGCCATCAACACACGTTCCAGCAGCACAGTCAGTGATTGTCTTGATTCTTTAGCTTCACATTTCAAATGTAAGAGGAAACAAAGACTCAGTTGTGAGCGTTGTTGTCTCGTGTCTCTGATTTCAGAGGTCAGACACTGATCAGTCATTTTAAACCAATATTATAACAAATGGCTTCAACCTGCTACAACTAAAGTTAGACACGATACAGGAAGTTGGCGAGTTTAGCCCTAAAAACTAAACCTATGAATTTTACAGAACCAAAAAAAAGCAATATAACCCAAAGTGTAGTACTGATAAGAATAATATAGTAATAATAATAATAATAATAATAATAATAATAATAATGCTGTTTATTGATTTGTCGTGTTTTTCTTGAATACAAATACATTGATGTTTTTGTGTTGTCAATGTCCCATCCACTAACATGGAAGAAGCCGGCTTTATGACGTGTTCCGCACTCGTCCCACAAAGGGTTGATCACGATCTTTACTTTTGGGGAGCTGTCATGTCGTCCATCTTTATATGCACGCTATAATAAAAAGTATGCGGCCGTTGGAGCGTGCTGGTGACGTCGGACTCAGACATCTTGCAGCCTCGCGAGTATCCTCAGGTGTGTCTCTTGGGTGAGAGCATAGAGGGGAGAGCTTGTGCGGTGTCAGGCGAACGTGAACGTGGCTCTGGAGGAGGATAACACGACATTTGTTTTTACGCTTAACGATACGATCCGGAGTTCCTTGAATCGTACCGGATTTGGCTGCGACGCTGTTTACCCCAGAGACTCCGACACTTCACCCACCATCATGGTGGCGAGTGGATAATGAGTGGGTTTTTTTTAAAAGTTTGGGTGAACTCTCCCTTTAGCGCCACAAACCTTTTGAGGCTTTTATTGTGAAGGAGCCTCAGCTGTGTTCCTGGTTGTTGCCGGGAGTTGACAGAGATGGAGCGCGCGCTGCGGACACAGTAGAAGATCACAGTCACAGACGCGTCAAGGAAATTTAAAGATCATCAGCGTGTTTCCTCATCGAGCCTCGCAGCCTCCGACAGGCTCATGGACAGAGGAGCCGCTCTTGTCCGCACCGGGGGCGCGTTGATCGGATGCCTTCCAACACAGCTGCGCCGTTAGATGTTTTCCATTCTGGATTAATTGGTTGACCAATGGCTCCCGAACATGCGCTCCTCTGCCCCGGGGTCGCAGGGATAACTGGGGAAGGAGACCCCCGCTCCTCATCCTCGTCCTCCTCCTCCTCCTCTCCGACGGCATGGATCCTGGACGCGGGGATGGTGGCCGTCCGCACACCGAGGACCGCGCACAGGACCCGGGCGCAGAGTGGGATGACGGCCCGGTGGTTGGTGGCGGTCGGCGCGGTGCTGATGCTGATGATGCAGAGCTCCTTGGCCGCTGACGGTAAGACGATGATGCTGTTTGTGTCCAGCCTGTGATGGTGGCCCTCTATTCTTTATCTCCCACGACGAGCAGCAGCTGGAGGATGTGACTCCCATCCTGAAGCTGCTCGCGGTGTCCTCTCATTAATGCAGATGTTTATGGCCAGTGAAGGGGCAGATGTGCGTTTGGAGGATTTATCACACTTTTACATGTGTTGTCATTTTGATCCGGAGCTGCTGTGCTGATCTCTGAGGCTTTGTTGTTATTCTCATATCCCATTAACGTTAATTAATGTCCTTAATTTGTCTGAATATATATATTCGATATGTTTATTTCCTGTGTGAAACCATCGGTGTTGGCGCGCGCAGGCCCTAATGGATGTCACGTCTCCAAACACGCAGCCAGGGCGCACGGTGGACCGCAGCGCTGCGCTACGACGCACCGCGCCGCACCGCACCGCGCCGCGCCGCTCACCCACCGCGGCCGCTTCTCTGCATTAAAC